CATGTCAATTTTCCTCTGTCCGGAGTTTTCAGCACAATAAGTGCATTCTGTTTGGCGTCAGTGCTTTCGCCGTCGAAGTCATATCTATTGTAGGCTCTTAGGCGAATACTGTGGGAAAATATCCAGCCATAGCTTCCGCTCCATCCATATTACCTTCAATTAACTGGCTAATTTCTGTTTTTTGGTTACAGAGTGAATGCCAAGAAACGTTCTACTTCTACAGTTCACAAAAGGAAACAACCGCTTCAGGTGTGGTACAGAGACCTAGGAGAGACGCATTACTATGAATCACTGGAACTGGTGGATAGATACGACACGTTTATTCTGGGACTCCTTGTGAGTCTTCTTGCAGTGACCAGGGCGAATGGTAAGACGTTTTCTTCCATCGTAGTTGACTTCGCATCTAAAGATTTTGTTGCGGATTACAGCATTTACATTCTTTCGCCACAGTTTGTTTCAGTTTCAGTCTTTTCAGGCATGGGCTGGCCGCCCGAATGCAGTATTCCAAGTGAGGCCTAACGTAAGTAGAGTAGAGCATTCTAAACATGTCCTGATCAAAACATTTGAAAGTTCTGCGGAAGGACCACCATATACGGAAGCCCTTTGCTGCAGCTGCATCACAGTTTGCCAGGGTTTTCAAACCATGACTAGTGATGACACCCAAGCCTTTTGGCTCAAAGACTGGGAGTAGTGGTGTACCATCAACGGAATAATGGAAACAATTACCATGACCAATGTGCATTATTGCACTTCCGTCAGAAGTGATTTCCAGGCACCAGCCTTTTAACCAACCTACTAGTTCGTCTAAATCCGCCTTAAGTGCGTACCTATCTGCATCACTGAGTATGGCTCTTCAAATCTCTACATCATCGGCAAATAACAGTACTGAAGAGTTGAGCATATTTGGCAATTCCTTGACATATAACAAGAAAAGTAGTGGGCCTAGGATTGTTCCTTGAGGAACTCCACTCACCACAGGTTTCCACCCCGATAATGTCCCACTTACCTTTACTCTTTGCCTTCTATCGTATAAAAAGTCCCTAACCCAAGCTTGCAACGAAGCACCAAACCCGAAGGAGGGGAGCTTTACCAGTAACTTCACATACGACACTTTGTCGAATGCCTTGCTGAAGTCTATAAACACGGCATCTACTGGCAGCCTGAATCAAGAGCTGAAACCCATTCCTCTCTCGCGATAAGGGGGTTAGTTAGGCAGGAGTACCCAGTACGAAAACTGTGTGTCTGTGGTGCTAAAAGACTGGTTGATTCCACATGTTTAGGCATCCTGTCACGAATTACTTTTTCCAAAACCTTGACGACTGTGTTAGTCAGACTCACAGAGAGATAGTTAGACGCCAAATGGTGACTACCGGTCTTAAAAACTGGGCTGATTCTGGTATCTTTCCAGTCTCTGGGGTGGCTAGTCTGAGTTAAGAACATATCGAAAGGATCCGTGACTGGCTCAGCAATGAAAAGATCAAACCTGTAAACTGGTCTCTATTCATGTCACCTATGTTGTGTGAAATATATTATTATGTCTGCCAGAGTAGGTGGAAGTCTGGGATGCAACTCATCGGGATTTAGGAATTTTCCACCTTTAAGGTTAATGAGCAACTGTAAGACTCTTCCTTTTGTTATGAACACTGTATCTATTAGCGGAACAGTGCTGACACCCATTATTGAGCTCTTCGTCATGATCTACTGAGTAGACTTCACCAAAGTAATTAGACAGACATTCAGCTTTGGACAGATTAGATTCTGCCAGACTATTGGGCTTCTTATCTGTCGCCAGAGAGGGAATTCCGCCTTTTCTCTTGGTCCTCCCTCTGATGAATACGAACAGTCGTTTAGAACAATTTGAGCAATCCCTCACAAGCTTTGTGAAATGAACTCTTCGATTACTCGGGGAAAAAATCGTTTGTAAAAGTAATACGCGTCTTCCCGATTGACTGTTAAGTCCCGAAGGCAGGTTAATCACTGCCCAGTTCACCTTCTGTAGGTTGGGTCGAACTTGATGTCAACTAGATACAGTATGGCTGTGGTGAATCCGGGGATGATCGCTGCTCAGCCATTCCCGTCGAGAGGTACAAGTTGCTGGGTGTAGCCTACCTTATCTGGGTCGAAGTATGCCAAGTCAAGAACTGGTAGTGAAAGAAGCAGGAAGACAGATATGAAGGAAGGAATGTGTACTGTCATGAAGTGGAACGGTGGTCGTATGACATGCTGATGATCACATAAAGTTGCTGCTTTATTGTGGTGTATCTGGGCCAAGGAGATATACGTTTACATCAATCCGTGGTGTAACGAACTTCTTGTTGCTTACCTTGTTAGCCTGGTCCAGTCAGCTGACGGTGCATTGGAGCCTCCTACATCTGGAAGTGTGTGTCTATCTGTTCACAGGTTCAGGTAGCTTAGGAATTATTCTTCAGTTTCACACTGGGCGACGTCATCGAGTTTCATTCAACAATGCAGCGTGTGTCTTAATTTCATGTGAAGCTGAAATAAGGCGCCTTCGAGGCTAAGTATGATACTACTGTAACGGAAAATTGATCTGAAAATCCCTCCCGATCACCCTTATTTGATTGTATTGACATTTATTTTGACATTTTTACCCTCGTTATGAGTGGTGTACCTTTGGCCCTAGCCGGTGTAATGTTATTTGCTTGTTTAACTGTCTTATTTGACTTTACACTCGGTATTTGCCTTTGTATGTTTGAGACTTATTATGAATGTTCCACTTTCCTATTATGTGACGCTGGACTGTTGACAAGGTGATGTTGTTTTACTACGCCCAACATTTTGTTTTGGTTCAACTTACGGTTGTGCAGTGATTTGACTGTTTGTCTTATGACTGTCTACTGGGAACGTTTGTTTGTTGATTTGATTCCTGTAGGCAGAGTTTTGATCCCTTTTGTCGGGTATATTCCTATTGACCGACAGGTACTTGACAGTTGTATTTGTTTAACCAGTTTTTACCGTGTAGTACGTATTTGTACCCGAGAACGTTTGGACTGTATAGTTACCCAACGGCACTGTTGAGTTATTTTTGTAATTTTGACATGACTTATTGTTGCTTTGGTAGTACCACGGATTTTGTTACGAATCTACTATTGAATTACTACAAACCGTGTTTTGATATTTTGATCCAACCTTTGACTGTGCGTCACTCGCGGAAGTTAGGAAGCTATACAGTAGAACGCAGAAACCAGTCAGATTCACGTCAGTTGGCACCGCCTGGTTATTTCCCGCGTTCAGGCCAAGATTATTGGATTCTGGCCGCTACAACTACCATACCTTCATGTTAGTCTGTCACCTAAAAAAGGACGGATTCCTGTCACCTTACTTCTCGGTCATTCATATCAGAGGGGGACGGCCATCTAAGACAGCAGTTACCTCATAGTTTTTCTATGACTATTACGCTGCCTAATAAAGTTCATTCAATAAGAGGGCTCTGGGTGCTTCTGCACAAAACGTTGAAAACGGCCGACATCATTTAATCCAGAGGCCCTATGGCGGGAAAATGCTCAGTCTCCTGAGACTCAGCTCCTACTTCTAATCGGGATTTCACTCCTTCCCTCGGCTATCAATTTTGGTCAGGTCAGAAAAAGGGTAATCACAGCACAATTTCCTTAGTTTCCCAAGGTTTACAGGAGATTCATGGGATGAGACTTCTCGTCCATGTAAGTCTGAAGATTGATTTAGGGCGATAAAGTTTGCTATCGGCTGCGGCCGACTGTTTTTCGCCTGACCCAAATATTGTGAGTAAGGTGACTGTGGGTAAAATTTCTGGCAATAACTCACTTGCGAGACGATAAACCTCGGTAAATTCACTTTCAAAGTCTTCACACGGTTGTCGGCAATTGCCTTCTTCAACCTTGTAGGGAGTCATAGGCGTTTTGTAGAGTCCTACTTTGTCCTAGCTCTGCCGAGGGATGACATTTGGGGTACGATTATAGCCAGATACTTAGCGCACCGTTTGGCTTCGGTAACTCACGATTTAAGAAAGTGGTTACATGCGGAGATGTTTTCTGTTCCTCTAGGAGCTATTTGAAATTACCAGAAAACTTCACGTCTTTGGACGGTAGTCTAAGCAGGTAAGTATAAGTAAAATAATCCATCCGAAAATATGTTTCGTCACCTTCATTCTTGTGCCAGAAAGTCGACTACCCCGAAGACTTAACGGTTCAGGTGGTTCAGATGGTTATTCATGAAACGGAAGAAGCTTCTCCTTAACCGGCTTCCGCGTCCCAAGCAAAAGCTGCTTCTATTAGGTTAATAATCACTGTAGCCATTCAAACCATTAGGTCCCTGTAGCAACCCCTCAGACAACTAAACTTGCTCACCTCAACTCGTCGAAAGGAAACGGGTGACCTACTGACAGCCCACAAGATCGTCCACCAGGCGGACCACCCCGGCAGGATAACACTATTGGTCCGAAACCAACAGGCTGTCGAGGACCCCTATCGCATACCCGCCATAGGGTAAAACAAGAAGGAGATCTAATTTTTTTCTCACACGGGTCATGTGCCTTGTGTAATACCATGCTCAAAAAAGCAGTCACAGGTGTGTCAGCTGAATCCTTCAAACGACTGCTGGATAAGTACGCAAACGCAAACGCCTTATGATGCACAATCACAGGCAGCAACTGAAAGTATGCTCAGTCATGCCTGTATTCCTAGATCTAGTATCTGCAATAAAACCCATACTTTCTCAATATTATGAATAGTGGCAGTTACCTTTCCACAAGTACTTTCCACTCTTCTCTTCTCATTCCTCACCCACTCTTTTTCCTCTGCTACCGCTTAAACAATGCTTAATACTTACTTGCTGGTGCTTACAAAAACAGGAATTGCAACCACCTAAGGAGCGTATTTCGAACTAGAAGAACCAAGCATTAAGACCTAGAGATAAGAGCTCAAAAATTACAACTTTTTTTACTCACACTGTTGCTGTTTAATATTGGATACTGTCTCTAGGACAGTAGGTAAAGTGGCGCAAGAATGAAATTTCTGAAACACGTTTTTGGATTTATTATTTTACTGAGATTCTGTTCAACCAGTGTTATTCATCTCAACTCAACTAACTGGAAACAAATGCTGGAAGGCGAATGGTTTGTGGAATTGTAAGCATACTTTTAAACTTATAGTGATAAGTGAGTGCATTGATAGTTCATTAATTTACAATAAAGGTGCTGGAATGCTCAATGATGTAGACCAGTCTGATGAGACTACCTTTGAATTACAAGAAATATTTCGTACCACCCTAATTCTACTCCACAGTTTCGTTTCAGAACGTCTATTTTGCTGTTCTCAAGCTCAAGTATACTTAGGCTGGGGAAGAGTTAGTAGTTAATATGGTTATATCAATAGAAAAGATTATGAGTAGTAAGTAAAAAAAAAGTAGCGATGGGCTAGTGAGGTCAGTAATTCCTTAAGTACGTCTGTGGTAAGTTATGCCAAATGGTTCAACTGTGTAACCGTCTTTTGAATGAATCTTCGGAGGTAGTTGTGACTACATCCTGAAGCAAGACATTCCATAAAGCACACACTGTTTAGGAGAAAAGGTCGGGTGTAAGCCTGGTGTTATCTCTCTGACGTATTTTCCTGATGGAGTTTCTCCGTGATTACTGAAATGTTGCAGACAAGGCTAGTTTTTTGCCTGATGGATGATCTTTTGTGCCATAATTAGGTCACACCTCTTTCTGCGGTAGCCCAAAGTGAATAGGTTTCGATGTTTTAGTCTTTCAGGGTATGATTTCCTCCCTAGTCCCATAACTACAGTTATGGTACTGATAAAATCAAGATTTTTTTGCAGATCTTTGTATTTCCTCAGAGGTTGAAGTATCTCTCGAATTTTCGTGGTGCTACTGTACTGAAGACCTTCTACGTGAGTCACATAAGATTTAAAGTGCGAAATGTTTTACCTAGATCTTCCGTTGTCCCAGCTAAAAGTCCAGTTGTCTCAGGCAGCCAGCAATTTGGTGGTACATAAACGACCACTCCGAAAGGCACGCTGAGCAGTATGGACGGTGTTTCCTCTGTTAAGGAATTACCAAGTCTCATCGGCTATCAGACTTAATAATACTTTGGACAATATAGGGAGTAGGGAAATGTCTGTAGCTACCAGGAAAAGTTTTGTCTCCTCCCTTGAACATGGGTGACATGATCACGCGCTTCCATTCTTTAGTGAGTTTGTATGACTTTAGTAAGTACTTGAAAAGTTTACGGATTGGTTTCACGAGTTCCTTAGCGAAGTTCTTTAAGATCATCAGTCTTAGGTCTTCGTTGGACAAATGTGGGCCGTATTATCTTAGCTGCAACGTCAATCGAACTGACTCCCTCGGGGTTGTCACAAGAAGACCTTTTCTTAAAAATAAGTGGTCACTGACGTTGACAACTCTGATGCATCCACCTGCTATCTCTATACACTACATTGTGTCGCCCTTTTCTAACCAGTAATTCCCTACTTCCATCCGTGACACATCGGACATTTTTTGGGTTTCACATAGCTTTCTTAACTTCAAAGGCAGTTGAAAGACCAACATCTACGTCCCATTCGGGTTCGGACTAGATGTTGGGCTGCTGAAGTGTTGCTGAGGGTCATTTAAACTGTGCTTCAGTGTTCTGTCCAACGTACTACCCATCTGTCCTTTTTCGGTGATAGTTTTACTAGGCATCATCTTTTTGCCAATATCCAATGAACCTAAATAGTTGCCGGGTGTTACTTAATGCTGATGACTTCACTGCTTGGAATCTTTGTGGAAACAGTCAATTAATATTTTACATGGTTTCACTACTCACTGTGATTGAAATCAACTAGAATTAATCTTTTTGTATCAATCAGTTCGGACGATGTTGTGTCAACGCACTGGCTTTTACTAACCTGTGTATGTAGGTAACCAACTGTCTTTATCATTGTTTCTACAGCAGACTGAATATCACGCTAAGTTTTCTAAGTATGGGAATTACTATCATGTTCAGATAAATGCTTAGCTATCTCCCTAAATACACACATGACATTCTCATTTTCCAACCTAAGACACTTGGTTTTCACTCCCGCCTGTTTCCTCAATATGGTTTACACGGTGATCCCACTATACCCGAGCGGTACTACAAAAACATCCATGGTTTACCTAAGCACGATGAAGTGACCGGTTTCACTTGTTCTGGCACATGTTAGATTTCATCCTATCTTTGATTAGGCTCATAATTCATATAATTAACACCGGCTTCCTTCAGTGACGTTTAAATCTACTTTTGAACGAAAACCCATTATAACGCGACAATTTACAATTTGTGACGTCAGTAACAGCTGCAAAGGCATATGTTGGTTCAGAAAAGTGTTTTATGTGTAAGGTTCAAGCCTGTTTCCGTGAAACTTTCTTGGGAAATATCTTTTCCTTACGGTAGTACAGATACATTTCAGCGATGATCAAACAGCGTTTTTCAAAAATCTTGATCGCACCATTTACTGTTTTCTGCCTATTAGCATCACAAGAATAGTACTAGAACAATATATAACATATGACTTCGGTATAGTCTGCCTTTCATGACCGAACTCCGTTTACTGGTCAGTCGAGACCTCATTATCACAGCCTAATCTGTCCTACTATAAATGTCTGATCACCAGCTTAAATCCTGTAGCTAAAATTAGAATAAATTGTTAGTAATAGATGTCGGCTATTAATAAATTAGGGCATTAACAAACTGGATGAATAATTACTTTACTAAAAAGCCGCAAAAGCTTGTGAAGAATCCTGAATTTATAGCTATCGTAAACACCTATCTTTGCTCTCATTCGACAAACCCACTCATATCAGAATATATTCCTTCACTTTTTGTACGTTTAAGTTGAGTACAACTCTCAGACTAATGAATATGCAGAAAATTTCATTTCCTCACGTTCATTCGTGGACACAAAATATGCTGTCCTGCAGGACCTACAGCTGCTTATATTCTTATCCTGCACCAAGTATTCAGTTTTTCTCATCAGTGTGTGGTATTATTTCTTAGCAAGATACTTCGAAAATACTAGTCAACTGTCAAAAGTCTGCAGGTAAAGAAAGTTATATTGCTGTCTTCAGCTTTCCGTGATTATTACTAATATTGAATTACATTATTGCCTGACTTTTTAAGAACTAACCGATTTATTTTAAATCCTTTGACTAACTTGGTTTGGTTATTGCCTATTGATAGGTAACTCTTAATCACCTGAGGCTAATTTAACCAAAATTTATTTCTTGAGGTGTTGAGCTGTAGTCAGTAGAATTTTCAGTTTGTGGAAAATGGTAAGATTCGGCATAACGTCGTTAAGATGAGGATAATGTGTATATACATCTGTGCCACTGACATCGGTTCTCAGCCATATCGCCTACAGTCAGTCTCCAACCACTTATTTCTGTTGTCCCACTGACCCCAACCGGCTAGTTTGCATCGCCCCACATGGCTCAAATCAACAGTCAAACACTTCATATATTGATGCCATGTTTTAGTCTGGCCACCTCGGGCCTTTTTCCAGACTGAACCTGTTTCGGCCAACGTTGTGTGATGAGGCAGATGGCAACTAGGCATACATAAAACCTGTCTCAACCATCTCAGTCGATGAAGATTCATAACCTTGTCAACTGATTTACCTCTACTACCTGAAACTCTATACCTGACGTCTGCGTTAGTCATGTGGTGACACCACGAAATACGGCCTATACCACAAAGGCAACGGTAGTCAAACGCTTGAAGTCTTCTCATACCTTCCATCTTCAATGGGCATGTTTCACAGCCACAGAGTAGAACAGACTGTACTGCTGTGCAGTACACGTGACCCTTAATGGACAATCGGATATCACGTCGGCGCCACAGGTGTCATGAGTTGGTAAAAGTCAACCAAGCCTTTTGTATCTGTGCAGAGATTTCATCGGACACTGAGCTAAGCACCAGGACTGATCCTACTATCCAGGTAAGTGAAGTGGTCGACACACTCAAAAATTACACTCTGTTGTTGGCCGTGTGACCACTTAAGACCAATCCTGGAGCAACAATTTGCATTTGGATGGTGAGAAATGCAAACATTCTCAAATTGCCACTCAAAGTGTTCAGAAGACTCTGCATCTGTGTCAGCGTCTTCGCCTAACAGGACTATGTCATCTGCATATTCTAGGTCTAAGGAAAATTCTCCTGTGATTAGGTCAACGTCTGTGTAATCAGGTGACGAGAGGGAGACCTCCATGAGAATATCTATGACGAAACTGAATAAGAATAGAGAGTGGACACTACTCGATGAGCCTAGCTCCCTGGACATCTCACCACAAGTGTTCGAGTAGACAGCCTTCAATAAATTGATGGATGTACTTACTCGGCACGCCTTCAGTGAGAGACATTGCTATAAGACTTCTCGATCAACGGAGTCGAATGCCGCCTTCAGACCGAGAAATACAGCTATTGTTAAGCGTCGGTAAGCGTGTCTGTGTTCCAGAACCTGACACAGGGAGAACTTTTTGTCAATGCACCCGGGGTCGGGTCTAAAGTCTGCCTGGTTTTTGACGGGCTTGCTGCTATCGAGCTCCAGTCAAACGTTGAAGAATTATGTTCGCCAGGCTGATTCTTCCGTGGTTATCACAAGAGGACTTCTCTCCTTTGTTGAAGACTGGGATAATCAGTGATTTAGACCAGTCAGAGGAGATCGCATTTGATTCCCATATATTGGTTAACACTTCCGTTAACCTGACTAAGGGAACTCTACCACCATCCTTGTATACCTCAGGAGTTAGTCCGTCCAGTGCTTCCGCCGTTCCTCGTTTCAGGTTACCTACTGCTTTTTCGACGTCTGCTAGTTTTGGGGACCTGTCTCAGTGTTCCATTCAGGATCCGACTGGATAGCGAGCAATGCAATGGTGGCTGGAGGCCAGTCCAACTGTTCCTCGAAATGTTCTGCCCATGGTTCCAATCGTATCCTGCGAGTGAATCTCAGATCCGTCCTTCTCCTCTATAGCCTCACTAACCACAGTTGACCTTTTCCCCTCAGTTTCCTTAATTAGTCCAAATCACTATCTACTGTTATCAATCGCCGCTGCCTTTTCCATCTCCTTAGCCTTCGCTGCCCACCACTGTTCACGGTCGTTGCGTAGAC